TAATATTAAAATAAAAGATTTAATATTAAAATAAAAAGTTTAATATATTTATATTAAAAGTATTATATATATTTATTGTTTATTATTATTAAATATAATATTTAATATAAAATTAAAAAAGAATATATAAATTTTTATATTAAAAATAATATTTAAAAAATTATATATAAATAAAAATTATATTAATATATTAATTATTCAAAATAAATTTAATAAATTTAAATATAAATAAAATAATTCTTTTAGATATAAAAAATAAACTACTTAAAAAACTAAAATTAAAATAATTATTATTAAATTTTTAATTATTTACTTTTAATTAATTTAGTGGATTTATATTACTTTTTTTATAAATAGTTTAGGTTATTCTTTTTTACTTTATTTATTTTTAAGGCTTTAATATACTTTTTCTACTATATTAATTATATTTTTATTATAAGTTTTTATTATAATAACTATTATTTTTACTATAATTATAAATAGTTTTTTATTACTTTTAGTTATTTTAGCTATTTATATATTAGATTTTTAGTTAACCGTTAAGTTATCTTTAATTATTATAAAAATTCTTTATTTTTATATTATATTATTTTATTAAATTTTTTAAAATATATAATTTATTTTTAAAAATCATTACTGTTTTTTATTATTTAATAAATAATATAATAGCTTTTTTACTTTAAATAAATTATTAAATTATAATTTAAAGTTTTTATATTATATTTAAACTTTATTATTAAACCTTTTTATATATTTTAAATTTAATTTTAAACTTAAATAAACACTTATATTTTTAATACTTTTATTAATAATATAACTTAAATCTCTAAAGTTTAGTTTAATTAGCTATTGTTAATTAAATTAAACTATAAATTCATTTTAGATTTTAAACTAAAGGCTAAAGTATAACTTTTTATTAAATCAACTATTATAATATTAAACCTTTTATTTTAATATTAAATTTAACTTTTATAAATAAAATAAAAAAATATATAATTAATTTTTTTTAATAATTTTTTTTAAATATTTTAAAATTTATTAAATATTTTATTAAATTATTATATTTTCCAATAAAGTATAAAAATAATTGTATAATTTATATTTATATTTTAGATTAAACTTTACTCACTTTCTGTAAGCTCTACAGGCTTTATAAAGCTAATTGAACTTGTCCAGTAAGCAAGTTCAATTCGTATCCTTTTGCTGTTCGTAGCGCAATTAGCTAGCGGTAACATCGCTGGAGGAATAAAACCTCCAGCTATAGCTTTAGTCCTAAGGGCCAACTCCTTTACAGTTTATTAAGTTATTTTTTTTATTAATAAACTTAATTAAACTTATAAATACCTTAAGCTTTAATATCTTAAATAATATATATAAAATACCTTTTATTTTTTTTTTCTATAATATAATTTTATATTATTATTAATTGTTTTATTATTTTATATATATATTAATGTATAAATAACTTTTACACTTACTTTTATAATACAGTAAAGTTTATATTAAAGTAACTTTTATAATCCTTGTGGGATATAACAACTTTGTAAATAACCTTTATTAAAACCATATACTAGTGGCTAATATATTTAATATTAAGTTTTAAAAATATTATACTAATAACTAATTTATATTGTGTAAATAGCAAAACTAAATTTACTCTCGGCTTAGATAATTGATCTGGCTAATCCATCGCAAAGCTCCCTTATTCAGCTACTTGATTTGCCAAATACCATCTTACACCCTTTCGAAGCTCGTCCTCCGTATCATCTTCTGGTATATATCCTAGTCGATTCTTAGCCTTAGTGCCATCATACGTCCATGTATTACACATGAATCGCAACGTATGGAGTGTCAGCGGTGGTTCCACTCCGAAGGGAGCCATGATAGTCTGGGATGTAACCGCCATCAGCTTAGCAGCCCACTCAGGCATAACAAATGGCGGCTTCTCCTGTTTCCAGCCGGCCTCCTGCCAGATAATGCGCGCCATTTTCCAGAATGTCAGGTCTTTTTTGCCCGTAATGTAAAATGCCTCGCCGTGAACGTCATTGTCTCGCGTTCTCGTCAGTGCCCGTAGGGCAAGAACGTGAGCACGTGCGGCATCCGTCCCAGAGACTGTGGCGAGTAGACCCTGATCGCTCCCTATCTGCACACCGGTGTTGCCTTCATTCATCGTCTTAAGCATGGCTGGTATAAATGCATATTCCCTCTCTCCGATAATTAGTGGCAGCCGAAGAGAGACTGTCTGAAAGCCTGGCGAGTCTAGGGCCAGAAGACGTCTCTCTGCTCTTGCGCGCTGAACCCAGTAGGGAAATGCGGTGGAATTCTCCGGCCATAACGGAGCGGTTTCATTGGCCTGGATGTGATTGTAGCCTTCGATGACGCTCGAGGACGTAGTGCAGATCATGTACTTGGTACCGACCTTTTGTGCCAGTATCATCAGTGAGTCTTGAGCATACACAAAAACTTGCTCAAATTCAGAGCTTGGAGTGCTTTCACTTGTGTGCGCCGGAGCCGCAGTGTTGATAATTGTCTCTGGCATGAATTGGCGTAGGGTAGCTTCTAGAGCCTCCTTGTCCCGAATATCACAAGTATGATACTCGACGCCGTCACAGTGGTGGGCAATCTTGCTGCTGCGACTGATAGAGACTACCCGGCTGCATTCGGGCTGCTTCAAAAGCTCCTGGGCGATGTAGTATCCAAGACGGCCAGAACCACCAACGATGAGAATCGTGCCCCATTTTGTCTGTGTTCCATTCCCCATTTCTGCTATTCTTGACCTCTGTTAATACAAGATACAGGACTCTGAGAGTGGATAAGGAATTGGCAGTAGTATTCTGAGAGATTGACAGAACGAATGTGTAAGCCAACAGGTCTAAGCTACTGGAGAGATTGCTCAATACTATAGTGTATTTATATTCTTCTTTGCGAAATTTTCCTTAATTGGCTTAGCCGAAAATTATTTAGCTTGGCGTTGTGTTGGATGAGAGAATGTAAAAAGGTAAATACGCTAGCTTTCCCAAAGATATTAATTGGTTAAACTTTTTTAAACTAATTGGAAATTTCTGAAGTTAAGTTAAAACTTAATAAAATACTCAAAGCTATAATATTTAAATTTAAAAAAAGAAAATATTTAATATAAAAATAAGTATTTTATATTTAAATTATAAATTTTTTTTTATATATATTTACTTTATTAAACATTTAATTTTATATAATATTTAAAAGTTTTTATAAAGTAATTATAAATTTTTTATAATATATTTTAAATATATTAATAAATATATTACTAAATTAAATATTTATTTAAAAACTTATTTATGTTTAAATTTAAGTTAAATATAATATATATATATATTATATTATATTATATATACATAAATTATAAATATAAATGTATATATAAATTTTTAAAATAAATATTTATATTAAGTATTTAAAAGTAAAATTAATAAATATTAATATTATAAATTATAAACTAATATTGCAGCTACTACAGTAATATTACATTTTTTACTATTGTAGTATCACTCTTTAAATATTTTATATAAATTACAAAGTACTAGTTATGGTAATAAAATCTAACTTTTATTATACTTATCCTTTGCTTAATAAGTTAAGTAAAAAGGTTACTTAAATAAAGCCATAATATTTGGAAATCCGAGGGCCTGTAATATATCCAAGTATGCAAAATATAGAGCTAATTGCTTTGCATATATACAATTTGCTGCTGTTTGTTATTTAAATAATACTATTTTTTTATACTAAATTAAACACCATGGTGTTTTCAGTTGCTTTGCTTCAGCAACTCCGACCACCTTATCCATGAATTCATTGTACCATTCCTAGTTCATGCAAAACGCGCCAAACCTCGCTAGAGCCAATAGGAACCATAACGTAGGCATCATGTTCAATTCCGTCTGTCGGCACAAAAATATCAAAAGCTGTTGATATTCTGGCCTGATTGTTTTTCTCATACTGAAAATTGAGCGATCTTTCTATACTATCTTGAAAGTCAGGAAGCCTTTCTATAGAGTCATGCCGACCTCTAGTAAAATGGATGTAATCTCCTTGTTGTGAAAAGTCTAAATCTGGAGGAGTTTCAACTACATTCTCTCGTCTCAGTTTTGATTTGCCGCGTAATTTCGTTGAATTAGGGACATACCTTGCGCATCTATAGGCGTCCTCAAAACACTACTGTCTATGATGAGATCCAGTGCAGCGGCTAAAAGTTGAATTAGCTTTATAGCATGATAAGGGTGACTCTTCTTCTCAGAAAAGTCACAAGGATTCAGAGCTTACCATTAAGGAACTGTTGCAGTGGCTCGCACAATGGATACTTCAGCCTCAGCTCATGCAAATTATCCTGCACAACTGGCAATATCCCATGTGTGTCCGCGGTTTGACCACGTACATGCCGAACTAGCGATTCAAAGGCGAAGTTACTCATTTTCCTTCCACCAGACCATTGCCGCATAGGGAAGGCTACTGCCCACCAGATGAGAGTTTTAGGCTCAAGAGTGCGCAGGATAGCCGACCTTTCACGAGTACTGGCAATTTTGGTCCTCATGGACAGTGAAGTTGACTTTCGACTGTCGTCGACGAATATCAACTCCAAGTTATGGGGAAGATGAGACGGCGCATAACCCCTTTGCAACGTTTCCTCTACTCTGGCTCGACCCTCCTCCAGTAAGCGTGGTGTGAGCATAGTGATACTGTGCACGGAAAAAGGATAGCACTGTATTACAGCGGGCTAGATGCAGCTGGGTGAATGTGACAAAGTATGTGGTATAAACAGTAGAGGGGGGAGGGCGCTGAGGGTGCCAGAGGTGTTACTAGGGGCTAACAGTAGTGATAATAAATAAAAACATACTCCGTAGACGTCGACTAGAATCCAGAGCCTTTATATTGTGCCATAAGCTTGAATTGCTGACATGGGTCCAATGGAGGACAAATTTACACCGCCAGTCTGCCGCTATTAATGTATGTGATGCGCAGCGATGTTTTTTGTCAGCCTTTGGGCCGCAACAATTCTGTATTATTACCCCTGTTAAAAAGAAGACTATCTCAGCACATTTACAGGAAGGATTGCCTACGCTAGATAGCTCGTTTACCGGAAGGATTACCTACGCTAGATAGCTCATTTACCGGAAGGATTACCTACGGTAGATAGCTCTTTTACCGGAAGGATGACCTATGGTAGATAAGAAAAGGAATGGTTACCTCGGTTCTTTTGCTTGAAGGATTTCGAAACACGGAGTACAGCCATCGCAGGCAGCCAAAGTTTCGAAAGTCTATTACGTACTAATCTATTCTGTATAAAGGAAGGAATATCTCAACTTTTTATCTAATGGATCTATTATAATAGATAAAATAAATACTATAAGACCCAAAGAAAGAGAATAGCAGCTAATAGTCTGTTTATTACCTTTGTGGGACCTTGTTTAACTTCACATGTATATAGGAATTAATATAATTAATAAAAAGAAAATATAAAATAATTCTAAAGCAACTAACAGTAAGTATATTTAGTAATTTAGTTTAAAATCGTTAAATACTAACTTATTATACTAAAAAAATAATAAAATATTTTTATTTTTATTTTTTATATAATATACAAAAAGGAAAATAATATTATTATATAAAATATTTTAAGTAAAAATTTATTAATAAAAATAATTGTAAAATATTATTTTATTAATTAATATAGTTAAATATTTATTATATAAATAAAACAATATAAACTTAATATTAATGTAATTAAATACTTTTTTTAATATTTAAAATAATATTTATTATAATTAATTTATTTTAAAATTACAAGATTACTTAATTAAGTATTATTTTAGAAAAAAAAAATAAAAAAGAAGTTTATATTTATTTAAATATAAACTAAAAAAATATCAAAATTAAAGGTATATCACTTATATACTAAAGTACATATAAAACAAAATCCTACATACTTAATTGCATAAGTACTCTTTGCTTTACATTAATCTATCCAAAGTAAGGGGTCTAAGCACTAAATCCATTTCCGAGCAGGTTAAGAAAGGTACCGCTCCGCTGATAAAGAAAGTACGAAAATTCTGCCCTAACACTTTTGATAGGATAGTCTTTGTATCTTTGTGCTAAGTAGCAATACATTCTACTCCTAAGTTGCGGTTATAACAAGGGGCGTAAGAGTACAGAGTAAACAGCTGTCGTCATTCGTAAAATCCACTCTATAAGATTGCCGATTCTTTATTCTATAATCTGACAGAGTGGATCACTGCTAGCCTCGTACTTTATACAGTAAGCAGCTGTTGTCATTCGTCAAATCCACTCTACAAGGTTGCCGATCCTTTTCTTTTTTTCTATAATCTGACAGAGTGGATCACTGCTAGCCTTGGACTTTATACAGTAAGCAGTTGTCGTTCGCAGAATCCACTCCACAAGGTTGCCGATCCTCCTTCTTCTATAATCTGACAGAGTGGATCACTGCTAGTAAGCAGCTGTTGTTATATGTCAAATCCACTCCACAAGGCTACCGATCCTTTTTTTTTCTATAATCTGACATAGTGGATTACCACTAGTATAAAAGCAGTATAACGATACCGATAGGCTATACGGCCAGATTCGGACCGAATCATTTTGAGACCCACTGATGTGCAGTCGGAAGCCAATGCCGATAATACGCAGTTGGAAGCAAATGGCGATCATTAAAAATATTCCCCTAGGAATATAATATCTCTTATCATCTCGGGTGGACCATTTTGCACGGCAGAATCTGAAACCTGCTTAAGATATATACCGGGCTCTTAAGTTTTATAATCTAAATTATACCTTTTATCTATTAGTGCTAATAGAGTAGCCGAGGCTTACATTAATTAATGTTTTATATATAATCTAATCTAAGTAACCAATTTAGTATATTGGTTTATAGTGTATCTCAGCTTTATTTATTTTGTAATATTTTTTTATATATAAAATATCATATATCAAACTACTTTTTTATTTTTTATTTTATCTAATGTATAGGAGCAGGGCCTGTTTTGTAATTATACTAAACTCTTTACAAATTAGTGCTTAGAGGGTAGTTTAGAGGCTTATATTAGTTAATATTTATATATCCTTCTCTTTTGTATGTACAATGCGACTTGATTAACTGATTTACTATCTTACGATAACCGTAAGCAGATCTAGGCTCTATCTTATTTAGGGTTAGTACTTTGTGCCTAGGCCATTATATATCTGACTGACTACAGTATAGAGAAGAGTTCTTTTTTTCTTCTGCATATATATCTTGGCTCACTTTGGCAATTTCCCTGATACTTTACCCTATCCTCTAGCATTTCATTGCCTTGACATCATGTTTACACAACAGCCGCAGCTGACCTCTGAGAGGTCGCTAGATGGCCCTCCTCCTCCAGTTGTTCACATTCCTCGAGAAGTTCGACGCTCAATCAAGGTCAATGAAGCTTACAGTAAAGCTTTGGATGAGCACGGTCCTGTTATTGTTGTCCCTAGGCATGGGCGCAACGAGTACGTCATTGACCACAGGTATGCCCGTGAAGTTCTCACAGACACCGAAAACTTTACCTTTGAAAAGGCAGTCTTTGACCTGCTTCATCTGGGATTCCTGGCAGTATTTGACAATGGCGCCTTTGTCCACGACGTTGACGCCTTGGTGGAAAAGAACGTGCAGCCGCGAATGAATGCGATTATAGACCAAATTTTCCCTGTCTTTCGGGAATATTTTGATCGCTTGGAGGATGAGCTACCCAGTGGTGCGGACGACAAGACGTTCGTTGAGTTTCCGGACATTTTCTATCGGATACAGCTGGCTATAGCACACGCCATGGTTGTTATGATTCTTGGCCAAGCGCATGCCTCTTCCGTCGTCGCTGGCCGCTTTGCAGCAATTGCTATTGCCATGGCTAACATGACGGGAATGCACGAGAATACGCATGAGTGGATTCGCTTCCCGTGGCTCTGGGTCCTCATTAATGGTTTTTCTGCCATCTTCTTCACAATTATACCTCAGTTCTTCTTCTATGTCGCGCCTGCGTTGTGGAAGGCTCGGCACGAGCACTTGGATAATGGGCTAGCTGCACGCCATAGCAATTTTGTCCCCCTCTTTGACATTCTCCTCACAAAGCACTATCAAGGAAAGACTGGTATATTTGCGCTGGCTGGATTCTTCCGTTGCGTTATTCTTTCCATCGGAATCATATTCGCATCCATCCACCAGACTGTGGTTGCTGGTTCCTGGATCCTGGTCAAGCTGACCCAAATGCAAGACGAGTATCTGCCTGCCATCCGCCAAGAATGGGAGTCCGTCAATCCCCCCGGGGAGAACATTACTGTGAACAAATTGAGCAAAATGACGCTGACGGACTCATTTATGCGCGAAGTCCTGCGTACTAAGGGTGACGCCTGGGGTCCCGTGCGACAGACCACCAGGGCTGTTCGAGTCGGGCCATATGTGCTTCCAAAGGGTGCTATGTGCATTGTGCTCATCTCACGGGCCCACCAACATCCAGACAACTACGGTGATGAAGGAAAAGTCTTCGATGGCTTCCAGTGGGACAAGAAGCAACGCCCCGCCGTCCAAGGAAATCATGACTTCCTGACCTTTGGCTTGGGCAGATGGGCATGCCCCGGTCGTCAGTTGGCTATCCACGAGATTAAGATTGTGCTTTATATGTTCTTTTCAAAGTTCGATATCAAGCTAAAGGCTAATACCTTCCGGACTACCAATACTATTAACACCACCGCAGTTGCACCAGATGCCACACTACTGCTAAGGCGAAGAAAAGATACTGACGTCGCAACTGTTGTCTGATAGAGTATTGTATTGCGTCTACTGAAATTGAGAAATATTTTTAGGTGGTTACTGTTACTAAGTAAAATGCTGCGTATGGATGCAAATTGTTATCTTTAGTTTTAGTGGTGGATCATTATAACTTAAGATTATATAGTTATATAAAACACAGGCTTTAGGTTAAATTTTATAAAATAAAAAGCTAAGAGAATATTTATGGTTTTAGTATATATTAAAAAAAGTATTTTAAATGAAATAAACTTTAAAAATTTAACTATTAAAAAATATAATAATAGTAATGTTATATATAAGTATAATATTAATGTTTAACTAAAATAGTTTAATTTATAAAATTTAAAATAAAAGTTTTTAAAATAAACTTAATATAGTATATTTAAAAATAATAAAAAAATTAAAAAAGAATATTTAATAAAAAGTATATATTAATATATATAAATATATAAAGATTTAAAATAATATATATAATTTATTTAAAATATATAAAAATTTAAAAATAGATTTTTATTTAAAATATATATATTATATAGTTTATTTTAATAAATTAAATATATTTTATAACTTTATATTAATATTTAATATTTAAATATTTATTATATTTTTAAACTATTATACTATATTTTAAATTTTATATTATAGTATTTTATTTTTTATATTATAATTATTTATTTTTATATTATAATTATATATTTTTTATATTATAATAAATTTTTTATATTTAAAATTAAAATTTTTATTTATAATAAATAATAAAAGTATTTTTTATTATATTATAAATATTATTAAATTAATTATTAAAATATTAAACTTTTTAATTTAATATTAAATTTAACTTTTATATTAACTTTTTAAAATATTAAATTATATAATTTAATATAATAAAATATTAATTTTAATTATAAAATATTAATTAAATTATATTAAAAAATCTTATTTAATTAATTAAATATTATAAATTAAATAACTTTAAATTAAAATTTAAAACTATAAAAAATATACTTTGTTTAAATATAAAAAGTAAACTGCTTAAAAAAACTAAAATTAAAACAATTATTATTAAATTTTTAATTATTAATTATTAATTAACTTAGTAAATATATACTTTTTCTTTTATAAATAGTTTATTATTTTTTTATATTATTTATTTTTAAAATTTTAATATATTTTCTTTATTATATTAATTATATTTTTATTATAAGTTTTTATTATAATAGTTATTATTTTTACTATAATTATAAATAGTTTTTTATTACTTTTAGCTATTTTAACTATTTCTATATTAGATTTTTAATTAATTATTATAAAAAATTTTTATTTTTATATTATATTATTTTATTAAGTTTTTTAATTTTAAAAAAATATATATAATTTATTTTTTTCCTAAATATAAAAAATAAACTACCTAAAAGAAATAAAATTAAAAAAAGCTTATTTTAATAATTTAGCTTTTATTTAATTATTTTATTAGCTTTTTTAATAATCTTTTTAATTACTTTACTTAGCTTAAGGTTTTTAATACCCTTTAGTTAGTTTAGCTTATATTTAGTTTCACTTAGCTTTAATTATTTTTTTAAGAGCTTTTAATTATAGATTTATAATTTTATTAATTATAGACTTAGTTATTTATTTAGCTATTTTACGGTATATAGTAAACTTAATAGGATGTATTTTATTTTACTAAAGATAATTTTTTTTAAAATAAATTGCAACTAACTTGCGGCTATTATAGCTTTATGAAGTTTATTTGTTTTACTTAAGAAAAAGTGGTTAGGTTATTTAATTTCGTTAAGTTATTTAAAGTGTAAAATTTATTTTTAAATAAAATTATTACTGTCTTTTATAATTTAATAAATTAATATAATAGTCTTTTTTTATTAATTAAGTTATTAAACTATAATTTAAAGTTTATTATATTATATTTAAACTTTATTATTTAGGCTTTTTTATATATATATTTTAAATTTAATTTTAAACTTTAATAAGTAATTATATTTCCTATATTTTTACTAATAGTATAGTTTAAATTTTTAAAGTTTAGTTTAATTAACTATTATTAATTAAATTAAATTATAAATTAATTTTAAATTTTAAACTAAAAGCTAAAGTATAACCTTTTATTAAATTACTTATTATAGTATTAAACTTTTTATTTTAATATTAAATTTAACTTTTATAATTTATTTTTAAAAATTATTAGTATTATTATTATTTAATAAATA